ACCCCCGTGCTCTATAATTGCCATCCATCTGGTTCACTGCTTGATAAGCACACAGACTGTCGGTCTCGCAAAAGATTGGCTGAGAGCCGCCGTTCAGGGGTTATATCAAATACTGAGCCTTATTAGGGAGTGCCGTCTTCAGTTGAATGCAACCCCACGCATCGCCCGTGACGTTGATCAACAAGAGGGTGGTTTCTGACCAAAAAGGCGGGTGATGGATAACGGATAACGGGCGGTGCCACGTACATGCCTACAGCACATGCAACCATTGTCTCAACCACGATCATAACCATGCAGCCTCAGGGGGCAGAAGCATAGCAGCCTGGCAATACTACAGCTTCATTGGATAGATGCTTCTCCTTTTGAAGTTGCAAGGCGAAGCAGATGGGCCCAGAGATTTGGACCATGCATTTCGACGAATATGCCCAGATTGGGAAATAGGACCAAAGTCCCGTCAAGAGGGGACCCTTTGTGCTGCTAGCACATGCATTCATCTGCGCGTGCGTCTAGCGGCAGTTTCAGCCATCATCAACGGTCCAGAGTCAAGACTCTCTGTCTCGAAATATCTCGTGTTATTTGTTGGGCACTGATGATCCAAGGACTATCGTTGGGTTGCAGGGATCCTCAGAATCGGATAATCAGTATCGTTTGAGGAATCAAGTTTCGATGGATTAGATGATATGCTACGTTGGTCCAATGTGAAGAAAGTGTGCAGTGCAGTGCATTGCATGAGGCACAGAGCCCAGGGACATGGCTGAGGTGGTCCCGACTGTGAGGTGTAAGGCTGAGTATCCATGGATCCTTTCCAATGGATGGAGGTTACTTCCGGCAAATTACTGTACAGTAGGCATGTAAGTGCCTGCCCACATACCGAACTGCTGGTGGTGTAACTCTACCAGGCATGAGAGAGGGTCAATTACTGATTTCCTAATCCATCGATCTGATCATGTATTTTATGGAGCATTTAACCACACGTCGTCTATCTAATCATGCATATCCTTGACTCTGTTGCGTTGCGTTGCTAAATCCTAGTGCAATCCTTCTATATGTGATGTCCGTAGGACAAGAGATATCCGTAGGCGGGGGAATAAACATAAAAATTCAAGACATACCACACGGGAATAGAGCAAAGACCTATCCCTGGTCAGTGCCACTAACATTAGGACAACAGCGTGGATCACTAAATCGACTGATTTCCCACCTTGTGGGGGAACGAGCCTGAATTGGCGATTGGCTAGCTAAGTTAGATAGAATTCGCACGGGAAATGATAGACGGATCGGGGTATGGGGACGTGTCAGAAAGTCAGAAAGTCAGAATCTAGACATTCTGACAGACGACCTGGCCTAACGTTATGCTGCACTGAAGGATGTGTTTGAAAGTGCTACGCAAACACAACTCATTAACATACAGGGGTTCAAGGGAAAACATATCCGACTAAGGTGGTGATATCTTCTGCTGTGGCAGGGCGTGTAATAATCCCACGGTGAAGAGGCGATGAGGATATTTTTGACATAGATCATTGCTCGAAACTTGCAGGCACGTTGACAGCTAAGCTATGTGAGGCAGTTAGAATCCCCAGCCATCCATGTGTGTATGTGAGTTGATAGCCGGAACGGCATCCCGTATGTGAGTTGTGAGGTGGTTACATGAGAGGATGAGTTGAGTTGTGTCGAGGCCAAACGGATTTACTGATGAAGGCATGAGAATCACGAAAAGAGGAGGTGGCAAATTCACTTGCATCAGCACTCACGGATATCATCTTGCCTGCCTGTCGTGAGTCGGGGCATATCCGAGCTCGACCGTTGAAGCTATCTTGATTTTATCCTGAAGCTAGATGCGGCACAGCAACAAACTAGAACCCATGAACCCGCCTTCTACAAACGGCATTCGGGGATCCCTTCAACGGTCGAGACGCCATCGTCTCGGAAATTTACTCGTTTCTGTTCTGATTCTCAATCAACTGTCTAGGAGCAAGGGCCGTTATTGCGTGCGTGTGTGCCTCAAAAGCTCGAGCCATGATATCCTTAGCCCGCGGCGCTGCCATCACAGTCCCCGCCCACTCAGGCTTCGAAAAAAGAGCAGTTGAAACGTTGCGACAGCCTAAGGAAATTTGAGTGCGGCTGACGATCCAATCAAGTGGCCCGGTCGTCCCTCTTGTTCGTGCGACGGTTCAACTGACAACGCCCAAAAGTTTATCGCGCTTGACAGCTGGCAATGTATCCAATCACAACTATGTGGGCGCGAGCAGTAAGGACAAGGGTCTTTGAATAAGTCTACGCCGCACTTTTGCGACAGCAATGCCCTCTGCTAAATCACTCTCGCGCTTGTTTCGTGAGTCTACGACTCGACTCGACTTGATGCAAGGATTCACATCCCGACTCTATCTCGGACTCTCCCTTAGCAGGTAGTCCGATGTGTTTTTCACGGCTCCTTCCATGAAACCCACTCTCTGCCACTCTGTCTGTTCGCTCATTTCGGGGTACGATTAACCATAACCAAAGGTTACCGATATCCGTAGTATGTCGTACCAACGGGCGCAACCCAGCGTTGAGCATTGTTGAAGTTTTCTGACATTTTCTGACGACGGACTCGACAATGCTGCACTTTAAGTCAATTCTACCGCACGGGTAATAGTAAAAAGGGCTCATGTTGAGTCTGGCCCTGGGCACCACCTACGTACGTATCCAAATGCTTAGTTATGGCACATTCCGCGGAGCCGGAACCTTCCATACACGGAGCCGGTGATTTCCTTTTACGGTCTCTACACGGAGAAAGTGAGTTAGCTCTCATCTATATCCGTGATGGAACCCTGAGAGCAAATGACGAGAGGCTTCACGTCAACGCAGCCCTTTCATCGTGAGGATTTTAAGACCAGAAAAGTGCTTAGAATAGCGCTATAGCTACAGGCAGGCTATTCAACCAGACCGCTTGTTCATGCGTCGTGGATACGTTGGATTTCTAGTGTATTAGAAATATCTTCAAAGGAGGAGACAAGTCCGTGTAAGTGAGCGGCACAATTTCGCCGCAGATAACTCCAACTCTCTGCGGGGGTTTTCCGAAGAAGGTTGATCGACAATGCTTTTTGTGTCACCCGCTCAACTGGGAACGGGCGCGATTAGAAAATCATGATCAAGAAGATAAGCGCCAAATCACCAACAGTTGAAGCGGATGTGATATTGTCATCGAGCATATGGCGCCTCTGATAGCCCATAAGATGCCATGTGTCGGTTGTGTGTTGTGCTGCCATGGATGCATCGTCGTAACCTCAGGGCGCAAGTCTCGAAGGATTCTGGCAAAGCAGGGTAATTTGCCCCGTAGCTCCAACACGGGTACACAAGCCGAAAGCCTGCCTCGCTACGACTTGTCCTGTGCACTGGGCAAAAAAACAAGGTTCAGGGACAAGTTGCACATCATTACAGGCAAAATGGCTCAAACGAGGTTAGTCTGGCCTCGGCAGCAGTAGCATCTTCTCTACAGGACCATTAACGAAAGTCAATCTGTGCTAATGGGTCGTCAACGACGTAGGCGAAGCAATTGATGGGACGTCGATCCTCAGGTGGCCCCCAAAGGAATTTCCAAATAAACAAGTCATTCCATGGCGTAGGTACTGTATTTCACCCCCTCTTGCCTTTGGCCAGGCTTGTCTCTCCAAAATTGAGTCAAATGCTGCGACGCGTTGCCACTCAACGGTCGCGGGGCAGGGGTCGGCCGCCTGTGGGAAGCGTTTCTGGGTAGCGTCTTGGTGCGGCCGCGCTTAATCTTTAACAGCCGGAAGCTTGATCGTGAGGACAGCCGACCCCTGCCCACCTTTATTTTGTTGTAGGGTATTTTCTAAACTCTAGGTACAGAGAATTGAATCTAATATAGCCTCCTTTGACAAATAATAGGGCTTTGGGACGATTATCTCCAAGGCTGCAAGTAAGATAATATGACGAAGATGGACGAAGGTTGTTGCGAGTAAAGCCAAGGCTCAAAATTGCTGGTTACGTGTTTCCATTACTGCGAGAGGTGTATCATGTTGGTCCCTGAACTTGTTGGCTCTGCTATAGACAAGAGGGTCTGCCGTAAATCTGTCATATTTCGACCACGCTCAATACAACATAGACGATTTATTCAATATGATTCCAATTGTAGTTAACGCCAATACCTGTCATGTTTTATCGATATAGCCCAGCCCAGACAATTGCAACTGTAACTGCAACTCTAACTCATAGTAATATTCCGGTGATTATTCACAGGGATTTATCGTCCTGTAGCCATGTGGTTGGGTGTGTCGGTTGTCGGGGAACTACTTGACCTGGGTCTTCAAGACTACAACGGTAGGGATAGGCGCGCAACTGGGGAAGATGGCACGATGTTGATGTCGCTTGTCGACTTGTGCATCAGAGACCGGTAAGGCAGGGCTGGCAGGGGACAGTAGAGTTGAGAAGATCTCCAGAGCAAAAGCGGCATTCTCTTAGGACCTCGACAGATCTAAACCGAAATAGTACGAATAGTCGACAGTGACTCTATCTATATACGTACATTGCTGCTAGTGGTCTCTTGTGGCAGGGCTTGGACATTATTCTGAGGAATAAGAACTAATCGTGTCGTCACACAGCCCTACGACGGGCGCTGCCAGAATGAACGACGTGATCGGCCCGGCCGAAAGGTCTTCTTACCCGGGAAAACGGTCCTTGGAGCGACTGAAAGACCAGACGGACTCACACTCAAAAGTCAGACTCAGACTTGTGTGAGAGAGCCTGGGATTGTGGGACTTTAATTGGTCCCAGGGCTGAGTTGGATCAAAAGCTAATCATTTCGGGGTCTCTTTTCTTCTATTATGGGGGCTCGGGTCGACCTATTTGTGATTGGCCAGCCTCTATTGATGTGTTCCCAGGGTTGGGTTGTATTGGAGACTGTCTCCAGCGGTTTTAAGAGGAACCCTTTTTCTGGGACAGGGAATTCAAATGGCAGACAAGAGGCTCAGTCAAAACGGTGGATAAGGTAGCCCCAGGACATGGGACTGGACGTGAGCGAACTTGCCCTGGGACTGGGACTGACCTGGGGGGCCTGGCTGCTGGGATGGGATGGGAAGCTAACTAGGGGAAGCAGGGCGATGCTACGCCGCGCTAGAGACGGAGACGGCAATCGACTCGATAGACTAAATGTGGGCAAATTTAGCCCAGATTTCCATCGAGTCTGCCTTGAAGCTTCTTTGCTGGTCCATGGCTTGATCTCGGAGACCTGGTTGGCTTGCTCGTTTAGTGTCCACTACAGGGAGTGCAGTGCCAGCTTGCAAAGGAACCTCTCTGTCTCGTCTCCTCTATCAGTTGTTGGCTTTCCAAACGGTTAGAATGGCATCTGCTCTGTTAATAGCGCCAGCCTCTGATGGCTTTTCTGTTCTATTTTGCTCCCGCCCTTCTGGTGACTTGGCTGCGCCTAGTCGTTCATCGTCTCGTTGTCTCTCCACCGTTGATGCTACGTGACGAACGGTTCATCAGTACTGATAAAATCCAATACGCACCCATTCCAAACCAAGCCGTATCTGGTATACGATACGTTACTGCTTCATGGCACGGCGCAGTGTAGTATAGCATGGCATGGCATAGCATAGCATGAGGAGACATAGCAGATGCTCGATCCCGTCTCATGCCCTCCTTGAGCCCCGATCTGTAACTCAGTGAATCCCGCTCTTTTGAAGAGACACCGTTATGTGGGAGGGCAGCACTCCCCTCCTTGTTGCACAGCGAGGTTGTTGCGCATATAGGCATACATCCAGATATTTGGATTCATCATTCATCATTCATCATTCATCATTCATCATGGTGAATTTGGCCAGCCATAGCATCATGATAGCAAATCCGCTCACAAATGGATAATGAATTTGTCAGTATCCTGGTAATTTGCTCTATTCGTCCGAAGGGAGTCGGAATCGGACATGGCCAGCGGAGTTTATTATAAATCCTTGGGGAAGGTTAATGATCGCCCGTCGACAGCACGGGCCGTACTGTACCAAATGAGACAGTTTCAAGTGTATTAGTGAAGGGCTCGTAGTGGCCAACAGTCAGTGCATCTCTCATTTTGCCATAATAAAATCAATTATTTCAAATTGAAGCAATTCGTAACTGTCTCGCTTTTCGCCATTAACAGTCGCGATGTCAAATTACGACCCAGGACTCGAGAATGAGTGAACGAAATGCTTGGCACAAGGATCGTAGCGAAAGGATTTCGATGCCCCGTAGCATCGCAAATGGTCCAGTGAAAGAAGAACGAGTGCGAGCACCAGTGGGGACAGGATTGAATGGAAGGTTGAAAAGGCGGAGGTACGTACCATGAGCTACCCTGGCCTTGTCTGCAGAATGCATTGGATTGGGGCTCAGAGGATGATGAGCACCAGCCCTGTGAGGCCAGCGCCAGGCCCCAAGAAGAGAAGACACCAAACAGACAGAGACAGAGACACAGTGACCGAGAGACAGAGGCGAAAGAGCCCCCGCAAGCAACTAAAAAACACCCCTCTCCTTGGGTTGGTGTCAGGCCCAGGGACCTTTTTCTGGTTGTGTGTGGCCGTGCCGTCTTGGGTGCTGGGTACTAACTAGGGGGAGAGGTGTGGGATGTGGAAAGTGGAGGAGCGGAGCCATGGATGTCTGTGTGTGATGGTGATGGTGATGGAGGGGGTAGGGAAAGAGGCGTGTATTCAACTCTACACTGCAGATTGATCAAAGGAAGACAGAGCAGAGCGCAGCACAGCGCAGGGCAAGGCAATGTCCAGCGCTGGATACCCCCTCATGGGTACAGTAGGTACCCGTAAGGCAAGGTAGGCGCACACCTCACACGCCCCTGCCCTTGTAGGGTCCCTTCCATTTACTCGTCACTCACTCACGTCCTGGGTCTTTCCGTTATGCCATGCCTGCTCCGCGCAGCTTTGGGGACATTTATTTAATATACAGCCTCTTCCCCCTCACCAACCGTCTTGCTCTCCATCTATCTCCAAGTTCATCAACAGGTTCAGCTTCAAGTAGCTTCAGATCTTCTTGATCTTTATCATCTTGCACTCTTATATACTTATATACCCACTACCACCACACTCACCTCAAGCAACTCACCACCTCGCCTTAGCTATCATAGCCTGTCAGTTCGTTTGGATATCAAGACAGACACAAGAGGACAGACAGATACAGGAAACAATTGAGAAGAAATCAACTCGTCCAATCTTGTTTTGGGCCATCTAGAGCTTCGTCGTTACAAAATCGACGATTACAATTCTCAGCTTCAAACAACCCCCCACTCACACATATAACAATTTCACAATGTCCATGTTTATGACACAACCCGCCTACGCCTACGCGGCAGCTCCTCCGCCTCCCAGACAATACTCGGGAACAAGCAGTGCTTTCAGTGCTTCTGCGAACCCCGATGAGGACTGGACCAAGATCTCTGACCTTGCTGAGCGCCGAAGAATACAGAACCGCATTGCTCAGCGTAACTACCGTATGTTGAATCTGCTTGACTCTAGACTCGCTCTAGAGCCTTATAAGCTGTTTTCGCAGAACTAACAGTTTCTTTCAGGCAAGAAGCTTAAGCGCCGTCTCGAAGACCTCGAGCGCCGTGCTGGTTCTTCTGACGATGCCGAGTCCGACAAGCAGCCACAGAAGCCTACCAAGTCGAAGCGATCCCCCTCCGCACCCAAGTCTCAAAAATCGCAATCCGGAGCTCCCAGCAAGCCTGTTGTCTCACAGGGCCAGTTCACTCCTCCCATGGAGCCTACTGACGAGCTATTCTTCCCCGGCACCTACGATGACCGAGCTCGTTCAGACAGCCCTCCTCAGTTCACATACTCAACATACCCTGCTCCCGATGAGATCCTCCTCGCACCCTACGGTTCCGCTCAGTCATACCCAGCCATCACAACCGCTGATGCCTACCCCAACTACATGACGGCGTCTACAGTGCCCATGACACTTCCTTCCATGACGCACTTTAGCGATGCCATCAAGCGGGAGACGTACCCTAGTGACGACGGACTCACTCCTTACATGACCTACGGTTACATGCCTCCCATGGACTTCAACTCTGGTAGCGCATACGAACAGTCCAACCCTCATGTGAGTCACGCCAGTCAAACGCCCCGTGGGGTTGTACGAGATCCACGTTGCTGATGGGGTTCGCAGACTCCTCCGCTGTCGCATTCTTTCGACCACTCTGCCAACTGCTCAGAGGCTGGGTTCGACTACCCTAATACGCCTCTGTCAATGCCTGGTTCGCCTGACCTGATCCAGCACCAATAGAGCAGCTGGCATGAACGCGAGAAAGAAATATAGCGATATTTGAGATTTTGGGTTAGGCGTTGGAAATGAGCCCTACGAGGCATAGCATGGCGGGTTTTGATATTTTGGACACTTTCACACTCCACACTTTTCACTTCTTTTGGTACCGGCAAAGGTATCCATGTCACAGACGAGAGGATGTTTGCTCGTCTGCATTCGTTTTATGTACACAGGGTCGAAGCGCTCGACCATGTGGTTTCTGTAACGGCTGCAAGATGCACGGACGAATTGCTTATTTGGAACGGCGAAGGAAAAGAAGACAAGTGAGGCGTTTTAGGAATGCATACGGCATACGCTTGTATGCATCCGAATGTATATTGGAGACATTGAACTGGATTGGACTGGTAAAGGTTGAAAGCAGGCAAGGAGGCAAACAAACAACAAAGATGGCGGCTGCGGGGTCGAGAGACCTTGCTTTGGCCACTTACACTCTTGTTAGTGTTGGTTGAGTAGATATCTTGAGCTATGGAGACAAATTAGATGATGAAATGTGCACGACGCATTGTACTTGACTGCATTGAACTGAACTGTACGAATCATGAGCTGGCTGGGTTTCATAATGATTGTGATGTGATGAGGTGGCCCAGGGATTTAGGACTGATGAGTGAGTCTAGATAACGAGGCTGGCTGAACTAGAACGCAGATGGCATGGTATGATAGAGCTTGACCTCCCTTGTGAAGATCTTGTGAAGATCAAGGGACATGCAGGTTGGTAGCTCAATTACTGTTTTTGTTTCATCGTATACCTCGTTTATTATCTACTTGCGTAGACAGACGGAGCTGAATAGATAGAGCCTCGGGTATTGTGCCATAGTCTGTCGATGGCTTGAGAGGGTGGCTTCAGCTCCACGTTCCATGTGCATGTGCAGCCAAATACAGTTGAGCTAAGCTCCTGAGGCGGAATCCAGAACTTGCGCCTCAGAACCTCGTTTAATGTCTTTGTCTGTTGGGTATCATTTACCGTATTGCATTGCGTGTTATGTCCCCTCGCTCTTTTTTTCCTATGATACGGAGACTTTTATGCGCTATGTGACCGGTATGTGAGCTGTTCCTCGCTCGGCGGTTACCACTAACAGACCGGAGTGCCAGGGTGTGGATGTGATGAAGGGATTGGCTTTTTGGGATTGGGATTGGGATTTGGGAGACCTTTTTTGAGTCCGAGTCCGAGTCCTACCTCCACGTGCCAAGGAGGGTTGCATGGGCAAATCCGGGCGTCTTGTTGTGTTACAAGTTGGCATCATATCCGTCATGTTATTGGGTGTCGCTCTGTGTGTGCATGGCCTGGCCTCTTCGGTGCCGACGTACGTGGTCTTGCCGGCTCCTACGGCTACGGATAACAAAGAGGAATCAGGCTCGGGTCAAGATTGACGCCAGGTCTTGGAGTCTGTTCTGGGAGGATTTGGACCCTCGTCTGCTCTAGTGGCGAATGATGCTGTTACCGGGAGTGGCGGATGATTAGTACGAGAGGAGAGATAATAAAAGAGAGGGGGATTGAAAAGGGAAAAAGACACGGAGAAGGGTGTGAGTCTGCGTGTAAAAGCATGGCATGGATGGTTTGAGTAGACGGATGTAGGTAGGCTGTGAACAAGTGTTGGAATATGCATTCAATTACCAACCTTGCCGTTGCAGATCAAATAATGGCCCCCAATTTTATTGCAGACAAATCACCAGAAAAGGCAGAACATGAAAAGCAAGTTTCGATACCAAATAGCTAAATAACAAGGCAAAGAGTCTGGTCCTTTTGTCTGCAGTACAGTCCATCAGTAGCGTGGATATCTCGACACTGGGATGAATTGACTTTACAGCTCAAGACCAAAGACAAGTCTGGACTCGATCTGCCGCTATTCGATTCCGGGCTAGACATGATCTAACTAACAACCAAAGACTGTCAACAGCGCCTGGACCAACACATGATGATACTGTCGTTATCCGTAGTTACCTTGGTGATCTAACGTTATGCTTCTGAGGTGTGAACTTTGTTTCTATCTACCACGGCCGTTATGTCTGTGCGGACGGGACGAGAGAGGTTGGTCAAAGGCTATCAACAGCCATCTTTGACATTTGGTGTTTTATGACGTATCTCAAATTTGAGTGACTGAAGTACTCCGTATGTGAAATGATAATAATTTGAACTTCAAAAGTACTCAAGTAATTAATTGAAACATCATGTCTGAGAAGCAGTTGCCTTTACAAGGATATTGAAGCTTAACTGACTGCTGTACGTAATCATCTCAACTGCCGACTTGGCGTGGTACTACGAGCAGACTCAATTATGTCATCCATTTAAGCATCCGTTCATGTCAAAACATCAGGCATCTCAATTCACTCATTTCACTTCACTTCCTTCAATTGACAGTTGAAAACAAAGTAAAATGTCAAACAGTCTACAATACATCTTCGGTGGCCCCAAGTACGTGTCAATATCGTCACAACAGCAACCTAAACTAACATGTTCAAGGGCATGGGACAGTGGTCTCTGGACCGCCTCAGATGATCGCGTCCGTGGCGGCTCTAGCATCTCACACCTCTACACTAACCCCGCGCAGGCCAAGTTCTACGGCCATCTTGACACCAAGACTCTCGGAGGCGCTGGTTTTGCTTCGCAGCGCACAATCGGCGACCTGGCCCTCGATCTCTCCTGCACAGAGGGTATAAAGCTCTCCCTTGGCTGGGACAGCTCGGACCAGACTTTCACGCTCAACGTCAAGGACACCATCCCTGGAAAGAGGGAGGATGGAAGAGATGAGGCTGGTGTGAGCTGGGAGGTGGACTTTAAGGCGCCCGAGAATGGGGGAGAGATTTTCATGAAGTGGGATGAGTTCAAGGCGACGTATCGTGGCAGGGAAGTTGAGGATCCTGAGCCGTTGAAGCTGAATGATATCAAGAGGATATCTCTCATGGCACGAAGGCAAGTCTCTTGTGTGTGATTCGAAGGGGATTGGTCGCTAACGTTGAATAGCTTCTTTGATAAGCAGGATGGAGATTTCAAGTTGTATGTCAACTGGATCGCTGCTGTCAAGAAGAATAACGATGACAGCGACGATGACGGTGATCTTAAGAAGCATGCTCTTGAGCAGCGATCTAACCCTCGTCCTGCATGGAAGGCTCTGTTCTGCGGTCTTTTGTAATCGTACTTGATACCTTCATCTTTAGTCACTCACCATAATCGGGTTTTAAATACACAAAAGCATTGCATCAGGATCAGCGCTCCCTTTATCCCGATGCCTTATTGATCGCCCTTATCGGGATTCGTGATTTCTTCTACTTGTCTCATTCTGTAATCCGACTCGATCAACTGCAAACGTAAGCATCTGATTGGTATTGTAATGGAAATTCTTTAGACTAACTGTGAAGCAAACCCAAGAGTACTGTGAAGGCCTATGACCACAAGTAATGGCATCTCATGGGCTACGACCTCTTAGTATTACTGGTATTATAGATATCTTCTTTTAGCCTGATGATCATGACTCTACTGTGCCGGTTTGAACCACAGAGTTTGAGGAGAGATCATACTACGAATATAGGGGCCAGAATGCCCTGATAACGGCTTGCTTCGATTACTTGTGCTCAGGAGTATCCCAAACATCACCAATAACAACTTTGAACACATCTTTTTATAAAACTGCAATTCTTACAATATACACCCCTAAACCTGACGAACACCGTGTCTCTGATGCACCATCCAACGCCAAAACACCACCAAACCAGGCATGTCAAACACTTCCATATGCCTCCACCCAAGTCTATCCAGCGCCTCCCCAGCCTGCAGTCGGCTGGCTATCCTTATACCTGTTACATGAACCCCCCTTAGTAACCACCCATAGATCTTCCTTCCTATAGTTAGACCGAGCCCGTTTCAAAAGTGTCGTTCCTATCCGTCTCAAGCTCGGTCGTTGAGCGGCCAAGATGCTAGACGGAAAAGGTATGTAAGAAGAACGATGCGCCATGCCTTACTGATCTGCAGCAGATCGATAGAAGCCTCTTTACCCAGTTCCGAGGTATGTGAAACAGAATGCAAGTCCCATAACCGTCAGCGGCGTTGGAAAGAGAAGTCGGCCCAGTGGCTCTGCTGGAGCTTTGGACTCCTCTCGGCGCTTCGAGCCGGAGGGGTTGCGGGTATCAACGATGCAATATGCTTTTGATCCCTTCGCTTTTCCCAGAATATCATAAAAATAAAAATTGCCCATCCTTCATGAATCGCCGTATCAATGCACAAGGGGTATGTATTGTCACAACGGGGAGGCCGAGGCCTTCCCGATATTAATCTCTCCGCTCTTACATGCTGGACACACCGCCAGAGTTAGGATCCGCGACGTTGTCCGATAGGTTAATAAGCAGCTGGGCAAGGCATCTCTTAGTCGCTGCGTCATCGCGGAGCACGGAGGAGAAGGTAGCATCGCGGAGTGGCTCAGGGAGGCACTGTCGCAGAGCCTCACGAGCGCGAGCGTTGTCACTTAAGCTATATGATTATTGATTAGGGCATGAACAACAGGCTAGACACGCGTTTGACTCACCGAAGGAAGCACCTGACGACGTGCTTGAGGAGGCGAGCGGTTTGTGACTCGACAAGTTGAGCAACCATGTTGCTAAGGACCGTACCAACTGCATAGAACCGCTCGTATGTAGCGCATATGTAGTTGAGACCATTGTCGTCCAAAAGGATCTTCTGAACGATGAAGATGGCTACGGTCTTGCTAAGTTCCGAACCCGTCTCCATGATGCGCAAGCAGAGAGGAATGATCTCTGTGGTCAAAAGAAAGTTGATGACTTCAGATGAATCATTCTTGACAAGCGCACCGATGACACCCAGGCTCGTGAGCCGGAGGTACTCGAAAGGCCGAGATTTGGAAGTGGTGTTAAGAAAAGGGTAGAGGAACAGAGGAATATGTGCTATATATTGTGAGCCATGTGGAACCTCTTTATGAGACAAGATATACGCACCATTGAGAAACAGGGTCCTTGTGTCGTTGTGAGAAGCAACGCACTGGAGGAGGGCAAGTGCATTACACACTCTGTTTGAGGCAGCTGCAGTGAGCTGGGATGGGTTAAGAAGAGTATAAACTGAGATGATCTCTTGGAGGAGAGAGGTCATGACACCTGAGAGACATGTTAGCTGGCTTCTTCCAGCTATACGCTTGGTAGCCCAAGACAACACGGTTTGGGCACGTACCGAATGAATGCCACAATATGAGAGCCAACTCGGGGACCTGCTCGCGCTTTTTACTAAGTTCCAACAAAGCAGCCTCCCGAGTGTTCTCGTTGAGAAGATCGGCTATAAAGGCCATGGTACGCCGGTTGTCCTCCGAGACATTGCTGTGATCGGCATCCTGACCGTGGCCGGGGAGCTGACCCGCGCCAGCAAGACGGTTAAAGTGCTGCTGCTGCTGCTGCTGCTGAACGGCGGCTGCGGCTGCAGCGGCCACTTGCTGTTGCTGTTGCTGGGTATGGGCATGATGCGCGCCAGGCTGCTGGTGCATCCAAGCCGAGTCTCCTCCCTGAGGGTTGAATTGGTGGTGTCCGTAGACGTGCGCCGCTGGCATCATGTTGGGTGTATCTTTTCTTGTTCGAGGGGGTTCGGAACGGAGGTTATGGCTTTATGACGTGCAAGTCCGGCAGTACTCTTCTTCGTCTTCGATGTAATCTTGGCTGAAGTGTCGGTCGATCGTTCGGCGCAGCGAGTTTGAATTCCGGTTGATGAATCGAGGGCGCAAATGCGGAGGTACACGAAACACTTCAATGGGTGAAGGGGGAATAATCGGTGAGGAAAGTAAAAATTTGTCGGAGAAAGGACTGTATAATATCTGCTAACGTTTCTTTACGGCTAGATTCCAATCGAGAGGGAGTTTGTCGTATAGTCGGGTGATAAAGCACAGTAAGTAAGTGGGAGGATCAAACCCAAGCAAGCAAGGTGAGATCGTTTGGCGGGTTGGTTTGTGCTGGTGCTCGCAGGTGCTACTGGGGCAAAGAGCGATTCGGCTTCTGGTGATGGGATTGGTCAGCCTGCTTCTCATTATGGAGCTCAGGCTGTGGTAGGTCAAACCGGCTGTGGCATCGGGACTTGGCGCTTGGACCACAAACAGGTATCCCCGTACGGAACAATGGCGCAAAAGTCTACATGGCCATGCAAGTGCGGGGAGGTAACTCAGCCATGCCAACCTATCACTAATAAACAGTCATTGTCAGCCTTGTCCTACCAAGCCTTGTCACAGCTCGATCTGTGGCCCAAAGACTCGAGGTTTTCTGAGTAACAATCATATTTTTTAGTGTCAGTGTCAAAGAAAGCATAGTTTGGTCGAAGAGGCTCAGTCATGATCAGCATCAAATCTCCAATTACATTCATTTTCTCCTAGCTCTTCTCAAGTACCTCCTCTCTCTCCCTCTCTGTAAGTGCTATAATAAATCATTACCACCATGTGCTTTCTCTATGACGACCCATGCTTAGAAGTTAAAACAACGAAAAAGCGCCATCGAACTATACAACCAACCACATGTTTAGTGCCTCTGTCGCTTGAAATTCCGGCGGTAGCCAGCCATGCTCCCACGTCTACGAACAACGCAACTCCTTCCCAGTGCTTGCTTCAACCAAACTCCGATGTTGCAAATTTCTTCTTAGAGAAGTGTTCAATGAAGGCTTATAGCCTCAATTCTCGAAGAATATGGTCCGCCATGCTCTTGTATTGCCACGTGTTGCCTGTCAATCGTTTGAACTGAATGCCATGCAACGAGAGCAACGGAACCTTGACGATGAAAATCTCGAACTCCAGCACCATGCTTCCTCCGAGATCACTTTGCACTTGCGTGCTCGTTTCTCCAGGGATTCGCCTTGATGGACCTCCATTCTTCCCAGGAATGCTGTCGAATGAGGTCTCGGAGTTGGAAAAGCTGCGATCTCGTTCAGAGCGTCCTGGCGTTCGTGGTGTAGTAGGAGGTCGCTCTGACTCGCGGAACTCATCCCGCTCGCGCTCACGATCGTCTCCCCGCATAAGACCGCCAAAACTGAATCGTCGCTTATGTCCTGGTGTCATGCCGGGACTCGTGGGAGGATCTTGAACTTTGTTCAGGTCAATACTGGGCGAATGGCGACAGTTGAAGCCACCCTTGATCTCTGTATACTCCACATTTAACTGCCGCAGCACTCGCTTGATATCGGTTCGAATTGCAGGTACTGACTTGCCGGATGTCGTCGATACGCTAAAAAGTCCCTTCAGGAACACTGGCTTGGCAAGTTCTGTGTCGTCTAATCGGTCTGTGGATACACCACTCTGCTCGAGTTCTTGATCTGTTTCTTCAGGCACATTGGCCTCTTGAGCAGCCTCTCTTCTCATGCGACGCTGCTGGATACTTTCCCTCCGAGCATGGCCAATAGACTTGGCCCTCAGGCTCACAGACCGGGAGTGTCCGTGGGCACGGTGTGTGCTGGAAGAATCCTCATTCGCGACGGATTGATCAGAACCACTGGTTGCTGGGGGGTCTTTTCGCCGCCTCAGGTCAGCCGAGTTGACACTAGTTGACCGCCCCAGGCCACCCCCTCGTCTGTTCTCCCTTGAACCACCAGCAGACATTGGTGGGCTAAGGAGCTCACCATGCTGCTGGCCACTCGTGGAACGGATTTGTGAATCTGACGCATCCTCCCTATCGCGACGTCCACGGCGGATACTGAAGCTCTTGCGGGGCGCCAAGGGAGAAGGTTCAGCTGGTGAATGGACTTGCACCACAGGAGGATGCGACCGGTCTTTGTCCAGGCGCTCAGGGTCCCTACGCTTGCGTGTACTGAACCTACGAAGAATACCAGCTGCAGTGCCTTCCTTCTTTTGAAGTTGCTCAACTCTTGGCTCGGCAGGTGGTGCAGGGGGAGGCTTCGGTGGCTCGGGCATGTCGTCTTCACCATGAGTCCTCGCGCGAGGTCTGCTTCGTCCACCAGTGGGTTTCTCTCCAGGCATCTCATAAGCTGCAGAGTTGGTGTGGGCTGCTTGAGGCGCCGCAATCTCTGGCATTGGTTCCGGCTCCCTTGCCTTCTCCTTTTCACGAGTCTCACGCTCCTTTTCTCTCTCACGGTCTCTCTCACGCTCACGCTCTCGTTCGCGCTCTTTCTCCCTCTCCTTTTCCTTCTCCTTCTCCTTGTCGCGTGATGGAGCTGCTGCTGGCGGAACCATATCAGCATGATCGCGATCCTGTTTCTCCTTGACGAGGTAGTATATAGATACGAGAGGACTAAATGCGTTCATAGGATCGTTGCCGATCTGCAGTGCCTCGGAGCTAGGAGCCGATAAAGTATCGCGGCTGTTGCCAGAATTCCTGCGCTTATAAAAGTCAAAGCCAAATGGTCTCCTCTTTTCGGCATCCTTGGCAGGTGGAGGAAGCTCCTTTTCTCGTTGATGGAGCTTAACGGCGCGCTGATACTCCTCTGATTCAATTATTTTGGTAAGTTGTGCATTGATACTTTCGGGTGTACCAAAGTTAAAACCTTGCATAGCGAGAATGACTTCTGGCTCAAGGGGCGTCGTTAACGGTTCGCGGTTGGGTAGGTAGTTATCGGGAGGACCGTTGAAGCCTTTGGCCATCCATGGATGCGTCATTACCTCCTGCATTGTCGCTCGCTGCTTGGGATCTGTCACCAGCATACGAGATAGAAGGTGTTTACACTCTATAATCAAGTTAGAAGATCGTACAAAAACAACAATTCAGGGACCTACCGCTTGACAGCCATGCGGGATAATCGACAAGACCTCTCTTGATTTTGGCATGGAGCGCGGGCATGCTCTGGTCATCAAAGGGAACCTTGCCACAGACCAAAACATATAAAACAATGCCAAAACTCCATACGTCAACTTCTGGGCCAGTATAAGCTCTGGCCTGCAGTAATTCGGGAGCAGCAAAGTATAAGCTTCCGCAAAAGGTCTTGAGATGGCCACGAGGAGCAAAGAGGTTGCTAAGACCAAAATCGATAATCTTGATGTCGCCCGTCTTGCTGATAAGGATGTTCTCAATCTTGAGGTCTCGGTGCACGATGCTATTTCTGTGTAAATAATCTAGGGCACTTGCAATCTGCCGGCTAAACTTCCGGGCTTGCTTTTCTTTGAGCTTGCCATGTGAAATGATGTAGTCGAGCATCTGGCCGCCGTTGACGTATTCGAAAAGCATATACCAATGGTGGTTGGTACGGACCACATCGTGAAGGGCGCAGATGTGGGGGTGATTCAGGAGGGTGCTGATAGCCGCTTCACGGGCAGTTCGGATTTCCTTGGATTGATCGGCGCGTTCCTTGTCGGCACGAGATTGGTGGCCATCGTCGGTTGAGCCACGAGGAATAATTTTGCAGGCGACCTGGTGAGTTGTGATTAGTATCGCTGAAATTTGTAGCTTGATAAGCGTCACCGTGGCAGAGGCATGAGGGGCAGATGAATGCGAATAGCCGAATGATGAAACAATGCGCGGGAATAGGCGACATAAAAGAAAAGGATAAACCCAAAACACACCTGTTCGCTGCCATCCTCCTTTCGGGCGAGCTTAACCTTGCCCATGCTGCCGGCGCCAATGGTCTTGCCTAGCATCCATTTTCCAGATTGAGTTGGGATAACAGTACGTGATCTCGTGTGCTTAGATGTTGAAGTTCGGGGCGGCGCGTCGGCATGGCCATGCTGCTGAGAAGCAGTTCCATTGCCAGCGCCATTACTGGGAGGGTTGGCGGAAGGAGGCATTTCGGGATGAGGGCTGTGGTGGTTGTTCTTTGATCGAGAAGAGCTCCGTCGATGGGCCCGCGAGGGATCGGGGCCCCTGGCCGGGGGTGGTCGTTCCTTGCTCGAGCTTCTTTGATGGTTTGCGTTTGCGGCTAAGCGTGAGGATTCGTAGTCATTTTGCGGTACAGGTTGCGACTGGTGAGAACGTGAAGATGAAGTAGTACGCTGATGATGGTTATGATGAGGGGGGAGATGTGAGTTGGCGGCGTTTGAGCCAGAGCGGGAGTGAGAGTGGGAATGGGATTGAGAGCGGGAGGCGTAGGCTTGGGACTGGGATTGGGATTGGGAGCGAGATTGAGAATGTGAGTGTGAGTGTGATAACTGGCGGGTGTGAGATTGGGCGTAGTTGGCACCTGTTCCAGTGGGCGTGGCTGGTGCAGGCGCTGCTGGGGCTGCTGAAGCGGAAGACGAGGGCGGAAAAGAGGGAGCTGGAGCACGACTGGAACGAGAAGACCGTGTAGATTGAGTGCGACCAGGTCCTCTTGGTGAAGCATCAGCAACAGCAGAAGAAGCTGTTCTTGTTCCCATTGTTGCGAAGCTATAATGCTAGCTATGTTGTGTTGCGCTGCGCAGCGCAGTTGTGAGAGATAGACGGTGTAAAAAGGCGGGATGTCGATGAACTAATGGGTCTCTCTACTCTGGGGTTTGCTCAAAATGGCAGTGAGCTGTCGTTCGCTTGTTGTAGTATCAATGCCTAAGTTGGTAGGCAGGGAGGATGACCCGGTCTGAGTCTTTATTAGGCCGTGAATGGACTGGAGTAACAGATGCCAACGCAGTCGTAATTGCTGTCGAATACTAGCAAGGCCCTTGGTGTTTCTGCTGGTCGAGTACGACGCGAGAAGAAAAAGATCAGGATTATCTGGTTACTGTCATGGGCTGAGGGCTCTTCTCAGCTTGCTATTTGCGTTGATGAGGGGTGTGATACTGGCAATCGCATAAGAGACCAAGACCGAGAGGCAGACTCAGACTCAAACGCAGACAAAAAAGCGCTTGGAGCAGTTAGATCGAATGCAAAGCGAAACTGGGCTACATGCAAAAGAATGATAAAAGTAAGACAAGGGAGAAGTGCCGTAGTCGTAGTCTTGATTTGATATAAACCAGCAGTGCTACGGCAGTGTAAATCCGAGCCTGATATACGGAGATGGGAAGGAAAGGCAACGCAACGCAAATATGCATGCAAATAGACAGGTGTAAGAGGATGAGAGAGTAAAGATATCAAAAC